CCTTGGAACTGGAATTTCGAAAAATCCCTTCTTATCGAATCTCTGCACCCTAGAATCAACCTGTATGCCAAAATTGAACTTTTTACGTTGAGTGGTTTGGGCAGGATCGTGATTAATCAGTGAGTCAGTCACTTAAGGATTTTATATATCAGTATAGATTTGATTGAATCGACCACTCATTATCGATTCTTTTAAAACCTCCCTACTACGTGCTATTAAAATCTAGCCTGGATATCCCATAAAAAATATAAACAAAGACAATAAACTTTATGAACTGTAATAATGCCGGAAATAATAGTTAGAAGGTTGTAGGTATAAAAAATAACAATTAAGAATAACCCTGTAAACTAGAAAGAATATTTTTAATATTGTTTTATATATTTTTAGAAATTAAATGCCATATAATTACTTTAAAATGCTATTAATTTAATTTTTCAATCTGCACAAAAACTTAAAAGCCATAATTAAACTAATATAATGCAAACAAACAATTAATAACAGCAATTTTATTTGATCTAAAATAATCACCTAAAAAGCGTTTAAAGCGCAACTAATGTTATATTGAAGGACAGGTGTAATAATAAACAATCAATATTTACTGGTGTTATTAATAGATATCTATACAAAATTGGGTCATTCTTTTTATTAATGAAAAAAACTAATTTGTTTATTAATAATATAACGGTTGTAAAATAAATACTTTTTTATAATTAGGCGTTTCAAGGTGAATCTCAGGAAGGTTTATCATTATTCTTCAATCCGCTGAAATATCAGATAAAATGCAAGAAATAAATTTATTTTCTTTCGTTTTAATGAAAATCTACGACTTCACATGATATGAAGTACCTGTTCTTTCAAGTGATTTTCAAGAAAATATAAAATATATGAGTGTAATAGTTTTTTTCTGTTGTCTAAATGTACCTCAGACAATCTCCAATGACGCAGTAAGTCAAAATGTTATTTATTTATATTTTTTAGTACAGTTGGGGGGTTGGACCCTTTGATGTTACAACATAAATAAAACACTAATTTCCAACAATACACCAAAACACTTTACTTTCAAACACTAGGCGCACGTTTCGCTATCCATGTTCAACGGTTAACTGTAGATTTAATGCTTATAATGCTAACATGGTTAGCGAACGTCTAGTGTTTAAAGATAATGTGTTTTGGTGTATTGTGCGATTTAGTGTTTTTATTTTGCTATATTTTATACAGGGTGAGTCTTAAATAAGTGCAAATATTTTCAAGGCTGGTTGATCTCGATAAAAGAAACATATTATTTTCTCTTTGCCGTTTTTCAAATAAGTCCAAACTAACCGGGTTATTCTACTTTTAATTTACTGCTTAAAATTTCCAAAAAAAAATATTTTTTGCTTAAATTTTGAGAACCACTGGATCTTTTCTGGGTTTTCTTTCTTGTACTACCTATGTTGCCATTATCAAGAAATAATACTACTACCTATGTTGCCATTTATCAAAAAATTATGTTTTACCTAACCTAACTAAAAACTAAAAAATTTCCAAGATTTTTTTGAATTTCTTTTGGCGGAAAAAGCTTCATAATCGTGTTTCTGAAGTCTAAATATAGGACCCCTGAAAATATTTGCACATATTTAAGACTCCCCTGTATATTTAATTTAAAAAATATTTAAGAAATATTTTCAAATAATTTTTAAATAGTATTTGGAAATGTTGCTTAACTATTTTTTAAATTAAATGAATTAAAATTTAATTAACAAGAAATATGTGTTTGATTTCAATTAATAAATATCACAAAATCTAAAATAACTTTCTAAAAAATATTATGTTTACAATTTATAAAAAACAAACTTTCGTGTGTGCTGAAAATAAAATCATAAAAATGGAAAATTTACTAGTATATTTATTTATAATTTTATTAGTGTACTGGGGGTGCATCTCAAAAGTGGCTCACTATCCTATACCTTTTTATTTTTTCAGACAAAAAAACGAGATTGGGTATGTTAGTATATGACATAAATTAGGAATGATTGATGTATTCAATTGTTTTCGGTGCACTCCGCCAGGGCACTCTAGATTGAAATTTAAAATACGATTTGTTTTTAAACGAAAATGCCAAAAATTGACGTATTGTATGTCATTCTATTCAGAGTGTCATTTTCTTTCGAATAAAGTAGAAATATACCGAGGATGCCATTTAAAAAAAAGTTGTAGTCATTTCCGGTGAAACAGGAAGCGACTTCCTGAACAACTGAATACGGCTATCAATCCTAATTTATGTCATATATACCACATCTTGTTCTTTTATCAGAAAAAAATTCTTCACTTTCGAGACGCACCCGATAAAGAAAAAATAAAATTCTTTTCAAGCATTCTATGCAAATGTATTCAGAAAAAAAATATATGTTTTCAAAATAGTTAGGTATATTATAATATTATACAGGGTGAGTTTCCTACGATGTTCTCTATGGGCATCTCGGAAACTACTGGAGATAGAGAGTCGGTTAAATGGGGAAAGAACTGCAGTTTTGTGGGGTCATAAATATGCGCTTTTCAGATTTTTGAAAAAGTTCATGGCTTACTAGATATTTCGAAAAAAACAAATTTTGGCTATTTTAAAAATTGTCCCTAATTCCATTATAATCTATTTTAGACAAAATGTGTTCAGATAAAAGTTGTAGATAATCACATTCCTAATGAGTTTGTGTTCTCCGATTTTTTCTAAAGCCTGTCATTTTTGACATATGACACAAACATATGTTTTTTTAAATGAAAACCATAGTTGGCTATGACTTCATAAAAAGCGCCATTTTTTAAGCTTTTCAGCGATATAAGCTATAATATGTTTCTTTCACAAAATTAGTGAGTTATAGCCAACTCTTATCTTTCTTGACTAATTTCACTTAGTTAGCCATGGAAACAAGTTCAATCGTCGTTGCTCTCAGAAATGTGAAATTGTATCACATCCAATCTTTCTAAATTAAAATAAACAAAAATTGTAAATAATTTTTTTTTCAAATGAAGAAAAGCGTGTAGGATTATTGGTTCAATTTTTCTTGGCCATACAGGATACGTTGACCGGTGAAAGTTACTTACGTTTTTTAGAGAACGGTTTTCAATGGTGTTCAAATTTTGTTGTGATTTATAACTTATAAAAAGACAAAATATATTATTAAACGGCTCTTTACAATTTACACTACACGAACTAAAACTTAAAAAAAAATAATATCACTACGTACACTTTAAGTTATTTTAGAAATTTTAAAAAATCCGCAATTATTTTGAGTACATAAATGCATCTTTTTAAAACTGAATTTCTAGCTATTGTCGCAGAACAACCGGTCGACTTAATTAAACTTCTCCTGTTCCGCCTCTTCGAGTGCCTCTCTTAATTCATAAGTTCTTTTGTAAACCTTGTTGTTAACCATACCGCATAAAAAATCTAAAATGGATAGGTCATGTGACCGAGGAGACTCATGCAATTGGTCCACCTCGTTCTATCCCTGAGTTCATAATTATGATAAAAATAATTTTTAACATTTTTTTCTTTCACTGTGGGGCGGGGGTTGGTGTGTCATAATGCAAGTCATGTTGGAACCACTGTATTAATGAGCGAGTATCTAAATTTAACTTTTCTAACATGTCTTGAAAACCGTTCTCTAAAAAACGTAACGTTCACCGGTCAACGTATCCTCGAAACTGTATAGCCAAGAAAAGTTGAACCAATAATCCTACACGCTTTTCTTCATTTAAGAAACTCTTATTTACAATTTTTGTTTATGTTAATTTACAAAGATTGGATGTGACAATTTCACATTTCTGAGAGCAACGACGATTGAACTTGTTTCCCTAGCTAACTAAGTGAAATTAGTCAAGAAAGATAAGAACTGCCTATAACTCAGTAATTTTGTGAAAGAAACATATTATAGCTTATATCGCTGAAAAGCTTAAAAAATGGCGCTTTTTATGAAGTCATGGCCAATTATGGTTTCCATTTAATAAAACATATGTTTGTGTCATATGCCAAAAATGACAGGCTTTAGAAAAAAACAGAGATCACAATCTCATTAGCGATGTGATTATCTACAACTTTTATCTGAACACTTTTTGTCTAAAATAGATTATAATGGAATTAGGGACAAATTTTAAAATAGCCAAAATTTGTTTTTTTCGAAATATCTAGTAAGCCATGAACTTTTTCGAAAATCTGAAAAGCGCATATTTATGACCCCACAATACTGCAATTCTTTGCTCATTTAACTGACTCTCTATCTCCAGCAGCTTCCGATATACCCATAGAGAACATCGTAGGAAACTCACCCTGTATATAATAGTAATTTGTTTTATAGAAATATCTTACTAATGATCATATAACTTATAAATGTCCATTCAACAGAAATTTCTAAAGATCATCATTCCAAAGCCACCTTGACGACGTTTTTTTCAATCAAACGGTAAATGTATACTCACAGCATATATTAAGATAATAATCGACTTTTTTATACTAAATAATGAGACTTATTGAAATCAGATAAATATTATTCATAAGTACATATTTATGTGACATAAGCTGCAATTAAATAATTTGCATCAAAAGACCAAACTATTTTGTTTTGACCATTATTCTATTTATTTGAGACTCAAGTTAAAAATAGCAAATTGTTTTTAAGAAGTGCTTGAAAAGTGCCACATGAAAAAATAAAATTCGAAAAATTATATACCAACTAGTTGTTTATTTGCTGATTCTAAGTATTTCTAAATAGTGATTAAAAATACATTTGGTCGATCATCAAGTGTAATTTATTAAAAATATGATTCTTTTTATATACCATAAAAATAATTAGTACTTTTTAACATCCTCGCAAAATATTTGCAGTTCTTTCAAAACAAAATAGTCATCAGCTAACCGTATATTTCCAATGTCTGTGAGTATCTGTGTGGGTTGAAAATTTCTTGTTTATAATTAATCTTTTTTCTAACAGTGCTTTATAATATTAAACTTACTCTTTTTGTTTCAGAACACAAACAAAAGGGGTACCCCCACATGCACGCCCCTCTCAAAAAGACTTCGAAATTGATGAAACGTCGCACCCTGTCCCAAGATTCATCCTCCCCCCAAGGCACGCCCGTACTCAGCCCCAAAGACTCTGAAACAACCACCCCCCAAACAGAAAGAGCAGCGACACTCAGTCCTTTGAGCAGGTATGACAAAATAGTCTCATTAAATAAGATATATGTATCCAGAGCAAACGCTTTTGAGTTTAGTATCCACCACACAAAACAAACTGGTGTCAGTGACTCTTTACATTCAAATATTTAAATAACCAACAAATAATACTTTTATTTAGAGACAAATAATTATGCAATGCTGACATTTCTAAGTTTCTAAAATTTTTAAAATGTCATATTATCTACGTTGAGTAGTCTACACGAATCCTTTACAATGATCAAAGGTGAATATTGTGTTTAAAAAAAAACTACGTTCAGGGTGACCTGCTAGTATGAGGAAGCCCAATATCGTTTGTTGAAATGGTTTATAAAGCTGCATATCCTAACCATATTTTGCTGTATACAAGGTGTCTGAAAACAAAGATGATAAAGTTATAATTTTTTTTTAATTGCAACCGCTATTTTTCGATACAGAATTGGATTCAGCATAAAATTCTGCATGTTCACTATTTTTAATTAAAGCACTATAGGAGGTCGCTATGTTATTTCTTATTTACTGAAACTTACTAAAAAAATAAATAAACAATCCGAAAAAACAATTATTGAAACATGGAATGAAAATAAAATAGAAAAAAGTAATAATAATAATAAAATATAATAATTTCTTTTTCTTTTTTTATAGCGCAGCCAACATCACAGTATTTAAAGTACTGTATCTGATTATTTTAATGCAACACCCTGTATATTACTTTTTATTTAGATATTGGACTTCCTCATATTAATGAGGCACCATGTACGTAATAGAAAATTATGTATTATTCCTTCTGAGATTTCTCCTTAATAGTCTTAGAGCTAGCAACGTTTTCGAGAAAGTATTTTCAGACGTCTGGCTCTTTGATATATCTTTTACTATGCTCTCTGGAACAGCATGCGGTCCGTTTAGCTGCCGATACCCGTTGCGTTCACTACTGCGCATTGTAAGAAGATCCTATATTTTTTTTTAATTTAATCCTATAAATTGTAGTATTGAATATAAATCGAATATGTCTCCATACCGCAATGCGTAATACGATTCGTCGTACTACATGTCGTACGACAAGTTGATACAACCGCTGGAACGACAGGTTGGATCCGCGTTTATTCACTAACTAAAACTACCATTTGATGTTAATCACCAACAAGTAGTAGTTTTATTTTCCATTCATTTTGAATTCTATTGTAGCATCTGCTTTTATTTCTTTTAATTTTTCCAGTAGGATATTATAACTGGCATTTCTTTTTTGTTTATTTAGGTATTCCTTACTTTTCACATCCCACAAACAAGGTTGATTATGATAAATTTCTATAAATTCCGCCCAAAACTTCTCGTTGGTATCCATTTTTAAAGGATTGTTTAACCGTGTGCAACGAAATATGTAAACGATCTGTCTGCGACACATAGGGTTTGCACACAAACCATCAAATCTATCGTATATACTACTGCGTTGTACTACAGATTTTCTTCATGCCATACTTCCGTACGATACGACTTTGTCTTACTACAAGTAGTACTACAAAGCCACTAACTATCCAACCATTGATCCAACGGTCGAAACGATTTGATGTTGTACAACTTGTAGTACGATAAATCGTATAATCTGTGGCCCATTGTAGAGTTTCCGACTACGAACCGATCGATGATTCAGAGTTCGAATCCGGGTGACGGCAAAGACTTTTTTATTTTATTTTCGTTTATATTCTGATAGTAAAGTATTTAATAATTCTGGTGATTCAAAAAAAACAAATAGTTAATACTTTACTATCAGAATATAAACGAAAATAAAATGAAAAAGTATTTGCCCTGACCCGGATTCGAACTCATCGGTTCGTAGTCGGAAACTCTACGCACTGTGCTATGGAGACATGTTCGATTTATATTCAATACTAGAATTTAAAGGACTAATAAAAATATAAGATCTTCTTTCAATACGCAGTAGGGAACGCAACGTTTACCGGCAGCCAAACGGACGGCATGCTGTTCTAGAGAGCATAGTAAAAGATATATCAAAGAGCCAAACATCTTAAAATACTTGTTTTTCCGACGTTGCTAGCTCTCGTACTATAACGAAGAATACATTAGTCTTATCAAATATTTTAGTCGATTAGGGTAAAATGTGCTTTATTTATTCTATATTTACACCCTGAAATATTTTATAAAAATACACCACATATTTTTACAGTACAATCTATTATTTTTCATTATTCGAAATAAAAACAATGGAATTCTGTGCTGCTATAAAAAATGCAAAAATGAAACGAAAAAAGAGAAAGAATTTAAAAAGAGTTATTTTAATCTCTTATTTTATTTTATTACGTATGTAAATTTATTTTAATTGAAAACAACGCCGCCTGTAATATATACCCAGTTCATGAATTTTAAATAGCGTGAAATATTTTTGAAATGTTAGTGAGTACAAGTTCAACTATTAATTGCATATTTTCATACATATGTATATGAAAATTTAAATAAATACATTTTTCCGTTGATAGAAATATTTTCCATGCGTTGACTGGGAACTTTTTATTATGCTTTGCTACTAAACACATCAAAAAATGATAGCGGACAAAGTTAAAATTTGGTGTTCTCTGAGCTTTTTATGTTAATAGAGCCCCTTATATAAAATAAAAGGAAAATTTCAAATATCAACATTTCTGCCCATTCTAATCTCCTTTGGCGATTTCTACGTGTCAACACAAGAACTCAATTCTTAAGAGCAATCTATTATTAATTGTTAATTCTTAATTTGAGCACTGACAATTACTTAGTGAACATTTCAGAACATTCGAGTAGCTGTAAGGTTTGGATTCTAAAGTGCTTGAATCCGGATGAATATGTCATGTAGAAGCTCAGTTACTCTATGGCCAAGATGCCTTTGCCTCACCTCATCGATCTCTCTAGATATAGCGGTGCCACAAACGACCCATGGCACCTACTTGTGGCTGCCACGTCCCTTATATTTGGACCCGCTTCTGTCATCCCACGATAACTCGTTGATTTGTTCTTGGTATTAGGTTACATACAAATAAACCTTTACTATCTACTCGTAATATCATCATTATCGTCATCATTTTCAGCTTATTCAACCATTAGTATAGCAAAAAAAGTAGTATAGCAAAAAAAAATTCAACCAATAGTATTAACAAAACCGCGTAAAATATGTGGTATTTCTAGCCGATTCTTTTCACTTGGACACAAATTACTGACTCTTTTATCCATATTGCAGCATCCGTTCCAAGATCGAAGACTCGGAAACGGGTCCGCTGAACTCGCCCGTTTTCCAGGAGGACGAGGACCCGGGAAATCAGAGCTCCGACTCGGAATGCGTTGTTTCCGATCCGTGCAACTACCACCTGAAGGACGAGGCCGATGACGAGGAGGAGAAGGAGAACGAGCCCGATAAGAAAGTGTCGTTCCTGAACAGCGAGAACTGGGATACTTTCGATCCGGACGGACTGAAAAAGAAGTAAGTGCTTCGTATCTTTTTCTTTGCAAACTTTACAGTGTGACTCATTTTTCCTGCCCTTGTGGGATATGTCTGTTGTTCCTGAAGATAAAGTATTTGCGGTTTCAACGAACATTGCCTATATTTAGGGAAAATTTTACAGCAAATTTTGGCAGATATTCTATTACAGCTCTGTGGCGATTCTTGTAACTGCTTTTTCAACACTGCAGAAGCGTTCTGGGCCTGTGAATGGCATTTATGAGCCTTATCTGATGATAGATAGAAGCCCTTTCCTTAAACACAAGGAATGACTCTTTCTGAAACTCTACTTGCAGTAGAGATATAAAGCGACAATTAAGGACAATAATGTTCCGATTCTATCGGTTTTTAACCTTATTATATGTCTCCAAAAAATCCTATATGGGTATATCGCAACTGCAAAAAAATCTACAAAATAAAATTATTAGTTATTTTCTGTAAACACTGCCGCGTTAATCCAACGGAAACTACTTGACAGCAGTTAGGTTTACTGATAAACAAATTGCTTAACGTTTCGGAAAGTTTGTCTCTTTCCGTCATCGGAAGCAAAAAAAATGAATAAAGAAAAAAACTTTTTAAAATATTTAAATTCAACTATTCGAGAACACTTTAGTCTCTGACTAGTTTTTTTTTAACATATACGTCTACTAAAACCGTCAACGTTCTGTAGAAATAACATTATATCAAATTAAACTTCAAAATTAACAATTACTACCTGATAACAAATACTTAATAAGGTAAAACCAAAAAGCCTCAAATTTTCTGTGTGGTTATTTTTAATTTGTTTTTAATTTTTACGTATGTTATGTTATTTATTCGTCCCATTGCTGCCAAAAGTCACTAACTTACTTTTTACTACTTCCGAGTAAAATGCGTCTAAAGATGAATTGCATTGCATAAAGATGTTATAGTTAGTAACTATTCGATATTAAAATAAAACATAAATAGCCAGAAATCGTAGTTAATGACTTTTGCAATCAATTCTCCGCTTCAAAACATAGTGATTGAATTTGGTTATTCGGAAAAATGTTAGTTAGTGACTTTTGGCAGCAATAGGACGTTATGTTCTTTAAAATCAAAGAAGCGATTGCCATACATTACTACAGATGCATGAGCATTTTATTTTTATTACATTTTATTAAAAAAGCCTCTTTTATATTTCTTTTAGAGGCTATCGCTTCTTTCATTATAATTTTGGCGTTGTTAAAATCTATTTTGTGCCCTGTGCTCCATGAATGCTGACAAATCTTAGATTTGTGAAAATCGCCCTTTCTTAAAAAATCTTTATATTCTTTAATTCGAACATTTAAGGGTCTAGATGTTTCACCAATATAAAATTTATCACATTCACATGGTATTTTGTATATTATATTTTTTGTTTGTTGACCAGTGTTCATTGCTTTAGTGTGAGTTAAAATGGATAGTTGTGTTTTGAAGGATGTTCCTATGTTTATTGTTTTTCTTCTTTCTTTTTATTCTTTTTTTTACAAGGTAGAAATTATTAATTTTGAAGTTTAACTTGATATATAATGTCATTTTAACAGAACGTCAACCTTTTATATTTTAAATAGCTTTTTCTTTGTTCTTTGTGTTTTTTTTAGTTTCCGACGACGGGAAGAGATATACTTTCCGAAACGTTAAGCATTTTGTTGTCCGTTAGGCAAATTTTTTTATTGGTAGACAACTGCTGACAATTAGTCTCCGTTGGATTAACCCAGCAGTGTTGACAAAAAATAACTATTTTATTTTGTAGATTTTCTTCCAGTGGGGAGATACCCATAGGACTTTTTTGGATAGATCTCGAGTTATTTCTACAGGAATCCACAAAAGAAATATTTTTTTACGTTTTCCGAAACATTTATACACCAAATATCTCTGGAACAAAAAGTGTAAATCTCAAAAACGATACGGTTTTGTAAAGTATACATTCAGTCAACTTTTGACATTTTTGTTTAAAACAAAATTGAATTTTAAATTTCAATCTAGAGTGCCATGGCTGTGTTAAAAACACTAATTTTTAATCAAGGAGCCTTGGAAAAATACATTTGATCGTCTAATGTTATTCGTGTCTTGTCCTGGCTGGTTAAAAGATGCCCAAATCGTATTTTTAATCACATCACATCAGACTTGCTGATATTTAAGTGACGATATTCTTATTCTAAGAAAAAAACTTAATAACAAATAAATCTACGTCCTGAACATCTTAACTTTTGAGATACAGGGTGGTAAAGTTTACTATTTTTTTAATAATAACTCTGATATTATTATACGGGGTGAGTCTTAAATGAGTGCAAATATTTTCAGGGCTGGTAGATCTCGATAAAAGAAACATATTTTCTCTTTACCGTTTTTCAAATAAATCCAAAATAATCGAGATTTTTTACTTTGAAAATTTCCAAAAAATAATACTTTTGCTTAAATTTTTAGAACCACTGAATCCTTCCTGAGTTTTCTTTCTTGCAAATTTATTCTATTCCTCCTACGTTGCCATATTATCAAGAAAATGTGTTTTTTAACTAAATGCTAAAACAAATTCCAAAAATTCCAAATTTTCCAAAAAAAAAATTTCGCGAAAAAAACTTATAATCGTGTTTCTCGAGTCGAAACATACTACCCCTAAAAATATTTACACTTATTTAAGACTCACCCTATATATAGGGTGAGTATACCCTATGTAGGTTTTATGAAAATTAGGAATTTTTTGAAAAAGATTTAGAATTTTTTTTAATTTTTAGTTAAAAATATAATATTTGCATAATATGGCAACATAGGTAGTGGATTAAATTTACAAGAAAGAAAATCCAGAAAAGATCTAGCGGTCCTCAAAATTTAAGCAAAAATCTTTTTTTTTGGAAATTTTCAAAGTAAAATAACTTGGTTATTTTGGACTTATTTGAAAAACGGTAAAGAGAAAATATGTTTCTTTTATGGAGATCTACCATCCCTAAAAATATTTGCACTTATTTAAGACTCATCCGGTATATCTTTATGATATTTGATACACGTTTTTTAATGCATAAAAATGAATTTTACCTAACCTAACCTAATCAGCCAATCGATGTAAAGAAAATATTTCCACACAATAGTCGCCGCATCAGATCTTTAGCGATTTTTTTTTAATTTTTTAAGCAAAAACTATGTGTCCGACGAAAAAAGTACACATTCAGTGCTACAACATATTACCTAATAAGCAAAATCGATTTTCCCAGATTTTTCGAATAAATTCCTCGGCACCCCCTGTCTATTTTGTCAAATATACCGGGTGCGTCTTAAAAGTGGCTCACCCCTATAACTTTATTATTTTTTCGGATGAAACAACTAGATTTGGTATGTTAATATATGACATAAATTAGGATTGATTGACATATTCATTTGTTTTCTGTCACTTCCTGTTTCGCCGGAAATTACTACAACTTTTGATTTTTAAATGGCACCCCCGGTATTTTGTTAATTTATTCGATAGAAAATGACATTCTGAATAAAATGATATATCGTATGTCAAATTTTGACATTTTTGTTTAAAACAAAATTGAATTTTAAATTTCAATCTAGAGTGCCATGGCTGTGTTAAAAACACTAATTTTTAATCAAGGAGCCTTGGAAAAACACATTTGATCGTCTAATGTTATTCGTGTCTTGTCCTGGCTGGTTAAAAGATGCCCAAATCGTATTTTTAATCACATCTCAATTTTTTCAAATGGAACGAGGGTGGCTCATTAGTATATTTGGAGAAGGCATTTTTTTACGAATGATATGATACTACACAGTTGGTATTTCGAGTCAAATTATCGTTATGAACCGCATGTTATAATTTCAAATAAACATAGTTGACATATGATATGTCATTCTATTCAGAGTATCATTTTCTATCGAATAAAGCAACAAAAAACCGAGGGTACCATTTAAAAACCAAAAGTTGTAGTTATTTCCGGCGAAACAGGAAGTGACAGAAAACAATTGAATACGTCAATCAATCCTAATTTATGTCACATATTAACATACCAAATCTCAATTTTTTATCTAAAAAAATAAAAAAGTTATAGGGGTGAGCTACTTTTGAGACGCACCCGGTATAATATTTGGAAAATACCCAGAGGACTTTTTTGAAGAGATGAATCCGCCACAGAGGTATAGATATTTCTTAAAAAACCCTTAAGAATTAAGGATATACAATATGTCCCCGGATTGTTTTTACAAAAGTAAAACCTTTTTTATTATTAACATTTTGAAAAGAATGCAGTCTTCATAAAAAATTAATTGTTCTAAAATGGCTAATTCCGTTAAGTAAAATGTAGTTTAAATACATCACAAACGTAGGATCAGAAGATATGCCAGAAATATCAACCACAGAAATTAAATACGCACTTCAACAAATAAAAAATGGCAAAAGCCCAGGAGAAGCTCGTATTACACCTGAAATGCTGAAGATGGGCGGAAAACCATTAGTGGATGCCGTGGAAGTATTGTTAAATAAATGTCTGATGAAGGGTAGAATCCCGGTCGCATGGAAAAACGCAGAAGTTGTGCTATTATACAAAAAAAAAAGATTTTCATAAATATAGAGAATTATAGACCAATAAGCCTTCTCTCGCATCTATACAAGCTCTTCAGTAGGATTATCAACAACCGACTGTCTACGAAACTAGATTCCTATCAGCCAATAGAACAGGCAGGCTTTCGAAAAGGTTTTAGTACCATCGATCATCTACAAACAATTAAAACAGTCATTGAAAAAACAACAGAATACAATATACCTCTACATTTGGCCTTTGTAGACCTGGTCATTTCTAGCTGCAATGGATGACGCGAGAATTGATTCCAGATATTATTCCATTATTAAAAATATCTATGATAGTGCAACCTTCCAAGTTAAATTAGATGATGACCTCAAAACAGAAAAAATACTACTCGGCAAGGGCGTGAGACAAGGAGATACCATCTCTCCCAAGTTATTTACACTGGCACTGGAAAATGTCTTCAAG